TGCGTGGAGACAATGCGGCAGTTTTTGGAGCTCAGACACGCCAGCTGTTATCAAGAGGACGATGTTCATCGCGTTTGTCCTAGGTGCGGGATTGAGCGGTCTCACTGCCTTTGTCTTATCTCCCACTCTCACACGAGCCATCGATGCAGTGATTTGCAAGTATCTGCGCAGAATGCCAGGAGGAAAGATGAGCTGGAAGAAGGAGACAGGGGAAACACGCTGCCATACAACTGCAAGAGTCTTTCGGGAATGGAGAATAGAACCAGCTGCAACGGCACTCAGAACAAGAAGACTGAAATGGTACAAGAACTGGGCCCTTTACCCCACGGAGCATGCAGGCGTACTGGCTGCGGTCTTTGGGGACTCGGTATTAGACCACAGGAGGGGGGTGCACCGACTTCAGGACAACAAGTGGGTATGGCAATTCTCTACACCCTGGGCCAAGCAGTTAAAAGAGGATTTGGATGCACTGGCCAACGCTGATTCGGATACAAAAAGCTGGTACGACGAGAGGATATCGGATTTCGAAATATTCTGCCCAGGAACCTCTGCGTGGAAACATTGGACGGCCACGGACACCACTGTATTGAGAAGCATAGGAGTAGCAGAACTGGAAGCAGTCAGAGGTAACGGGGGAGAGACGGAGGGCGAGGAAGAGGAGGGGAACGATGTTACAAAGCCGTGCTGGTGTGACTGTATGGTACAGACTGCTGAGGAGACGGATGGGGGGACTGTCTTGGTTTGCGGGAAGCGCTTTACTACAATCCAGGCTTTACTAGGACACCGCAGAGAGTACCACAATATTCGGCCAGTGGTTGCCAGTCTTGTAGCGACAAATCAATGCCCGTGGTGTCTTTCGACCTTTGCAGATAAGAGGACAGCAATCGACCATGCGACCAGAGCAGTCGACGGCCATGGGATTTGTCACCGCGACCGTAGCAAATGGAGCCACCCCATTCAGCCGCCACGGTCTCTCTTATGCCGCATTTGTAACCATGAGGCTCAAACATTAGAAGAGTTTCACGAGCACGCCCGGTCGCACCACCCAGGGCCTACATCAGTGCGGGAACCGAAGCAACAGGGAGCGCACAGCCATGGCAGAAGGCATTACGTCGGCGCGCCCTCCCTGGGGCCTGAAGAGGGCCGCAGAGTGGCGCCCTCGCGACGCCAGCCCACGCGCGGCCAAGGACAGCAAGGGCCAGGGGGGCAAGGGCGCAGGACCAGCGAGCAGCGCAGGACCACCAGGGGGCCAACCACCGCGCAGAGGAGGCGGCCCAAACGCCAACCAAGACGACAGCCACTCGTTCGCCCAGACGATCACTTCGCTGCAGCGCCTGTCGCTGCGGACGGCGCAACAAGCACGGGAGCAAGCACACCTGGCGACGGACTTCTGGCTGATCCCTGGCTCCTGCTCGCCGCCCAAGGTAGGCCTCGCGGCGGGGCGAGAGTATGCCACAGAGGTGCGGTCAAAAGGGAAGCATCGCAACCTGGGGCCCCCCCTCGTCCACGTCGCAGTTGCTACGATACAGGAGTTGCGCAACAACGCCCACTCCTGCCTGGAGAAGGAAGGCTACCAGAGGGAGATCCAGTGGAGCATGCAGATCCTCAACCAGTGGCTGCGCCTGGCATTTCACGAGAAGGGGGGAGAGTTCATTCAGGAGACCATAAAAATGTTCAAGATCACGGAGGCGTGCAAACCGAAGGGCCAGGAGGACGACGGGAACAGCAAGGTGAAGCTGCAGTATTGCATAAACCCAATGCCGTGCATCCACTTGGCGGTGGGGGAAGAATTCATCAAGTACAAGCCAGACGACGGGGGCGAGGCCATGCTGACGGAGGACGAGGACAAGGACGAGATCAACGAGTACAGCCCGAACTACATGCGCCAGGCAATGGGCTACATCTTGAAAATGATGGGAGGGCAGTGCGGACAGTCAGTAGGACCGAAGACGGACCTGGAGCGCACGGTAGAGAAGCAGCTACAGAGCAGGCAATAGCTAGCAGTAGTAGTACCAGCCTGCCCGAGGCCACGCCTGCGCCAGTCTCGCCCTCTGCTAAGGGATCAGATTCGTTGCCGTGCACCTTAGCGCAGCTTGCTGAAAGACCACAAGTAGCAGCACCCCTGGAGGAGAAACTACAAATAACAAGGGATAAAAAACTAGCTAAGGAGATCAGCCAGGACCCATCCAGGATGGACAAGCTAAAAAAGTTAGCAGAAACAAGCGACAAAAGCCAGCCCAAGAAGCTGTACCAGCTAGCAGTACAATACAGACGAGAACGACAAAAAAAATTGAAGTACGAAGCCGAAGGTCGAGGAGGTAGAGGAGGACGGAATAGTGGAAGAGGAAGCAACGTACAAAACAAATAGCAGTACGGCGGGCCACAGACGTTTCACCAGAGGGGGGGAACTTACCACTGGGTTCAATTGGGATTACATGTGTTTATGCTTTGTGACTACTACATACATGGGAGAAGACGGCACCTACCTACAGAGGTAATGCGACGACAGGATGGGGATGGGGAGGCGCTTTGCAGGGAGGAGGGTTGCTGCAATAGAGATTGAAGGAGGAGGAGAAGGGCAGAAGGAATACATTGCAATAGAGATGCAGAACGGGAAGAAGGGAATGCTGCACTCGGTATTAAACACAACTGGACAGTGCGTTTGTGCAGGTTCCAACGGCGGTGCGCATCGGGTTATCGTAATTGCAGCGTCATTTGTTGTGTCACTGACAATAAAGGGGCCCCGAGGAAATCAGTAGAACTCCAGAGCCCCTGGCCCCATCGTCCGACTACTACACACGACAACGGGGCAGATGGAACGACACTGGAGGACATGATGTGGCATGTACAAAGGGAGGGGCTCCTCCGTAGCACATCTGGCTTAGCAAGAGCACAGAGAGTGGGAACGCCGCGGACGGTACCACCACCAACGGAGGCAGTGCGAACGATGCCAGAGTCTCTGCCGAAGGTGCCAGAGGTGCCAGAGTATCGAGGAGATGCCGAAGACCCAGAGATTGGAGACTTCAACTACGTGTTGATACTGCAGGAAAAGAACATCAAGCAGTGCCAAAAAATGATGCAAGACGTGAAGAAGAAGTACGAGACGCAGATCGACTACCTGACGGCACAGAAGAGAAAGCTCAACAGGATCTTGCTCAGGTCGCAGATGCTAAACACAAGGAACACCCTAGAGGCCATCATGATCGGGGAGAACATGCAGACGATCACGGACCAGCTCAAAGGCATCGAGGAAGCGTTGACCGCCACGCTCCAGGCGCACGCCAGCTTGCAGTTCCGCAGCGAGCCCCCACCTAAATACCCATCGAGCAAGGAGTACATGAAGAAGCAGGTGGATGAGATCAACCACCTAGAGTACCAGGTCACGCCGATCCGCACGCAGCGCGCCATGGAGCTCGCCAAGATCACGTTGGCACCCCCGTGGGACGCGGGCGACCCAAGCACGTGGGTATTCCACGGCTGGACGCCTCCAGCGGAGGGCATTCCAGACTGGGACAAGGACGACCCGAGCACGTGGGTGTTCTACTGTTGGAAGGAGAGGCGCCCATGGATGAACCACCAGAAGGGGCAGAGTAGTGGCGAGAACGAGAGCAAGGAGAATGTGGAGGAAGTCCCGATCACTGTGAAAGCGGAGGAAGTCCCGATCACTTCGGACGGGGAGGGGGAGATCTGACCTGCCAGGAGGTTGAGAGTGAGAGACTGAGGCAAGCACCACCAGCGTACAAAGCATGTCAGTGGAGTTTTTATCGTCAGAAGCTGGTGCTGCGCAGACGTGAGTATCCCAAGCAGGACCAGAGGACCTGGAAAAAAAGAAAAAAAATCGACGGTTCAGTTGGTTCTGATGTGTTGTGAGGTGAACTATACTCGAGGGGGGGGGCCCGTAGCGCCCAATTGGGTGGGCACGATCCCTTAAAGGCGACGGAGCGTGCCCCCCCTCGAGTCTTGCAGGTGTGTCTGTGACCTCAGATACAGGGACCACCAACGGTCAGCTGCAGGGGGACGACAGAATGCAGCACCCACGACCACCCATCCCAGCCCCAGATCTGAGTAGGAGGATTTTTTTATTTTGTCTGAGTGAAGTAGGGGGGAAGGTGGGGGAGGAGGAGCGGAGAGAGCGGCCCCCCACCGGCGCGCGCCCCGCTGGGACGCCACGCTGGGCGGCAGGCGCGCCCCGCAGCCCCTCTCCCCCCCCCGCCTTTCTTCTCGTGTGCGTGTGTGTGTGGGAGTGTGTGGGTGTTGAGGTGTTGCGTCCGTTCTCCCCCCCCTCCTTTCACCGAGTGCGTCACCCCTTGCCCTGGGGGCTGGGGCACGGCCCTCGTGATGAGCCCTGCCCCAGCCCCCCCAGCTTTCAAAAGAAGAAAGCAACTGCTCCCCGCGCGTGGCCCGCCCCCACGAACCATTCCTGGGGAGCGCGCCTCAGGCAGGCCTAGGCGACCAAGCAATTGGTCCCAGGCCCTTGCTTCCATATCCAACGCAGGGATAACGCAAGACCTAGTCCTGCGGAGCCTCGTGCCTGTTGTGGTTAGGATCGAACCCATCCCCGAAGCGCCTTTGCCTTTTTTTTGCCTCCTTTCCTCCTCCTCCTCCTCCCTCCTCCCTCCTCCCTCCTCCCTCCTCCCTCCTCTCCCATTCCCCCTCCTCCTCCTCCTCCTCCTCCTCCTCCTCCTCCTCCTCCTCCTCCTCCTCCTCCTCCTCCTTTCTCCCTTCCTCCTCCTCCTCTTCCTCCTCCTTCTCCTCCTTTCCTCCTCCTCCTCTGCCCCCTCCTCTTCTCTCCGCGCGCAGGTATCCTCCCTCCTCTCCTCTCGGCGGCCACTGTCGCTCCTTGCTGGCCACTGGCGGGCCCGTTCCCTCTGGGGAGCGCTTCCCGCGTCTTCCCTTCGTTTGTTCTCGCCTCTCCTTTCCTCTTCTCTCCTCTCCTCTCCTCTACTCTCCTCTCCCCTCCCTCCTCCTCCTCCTTGTGCGATCCGCTGCAGCGCCAGCAGGTGCTGTGCGCGCTGAGCAAGATCGACCTGGAGCACGCGCAGTGCGACGAGGTGAAGGCGCAGCTGGAGGGTCTGTGCGGGGTGCCGCAGCAGGAGGTCGTTGAGGCGGCCCTCCCTCCCTTGCTGCGGGTGCCTCCGGCAGGGTCTGGGGGGTCGTCCTGCGCATGCCCGAGCTGTGCCCCGACATGCTCGCGTCGTGAACGAAATTCACGTCGGAGGGTGTTTGGCAAACTTCCGCCTCCGGGGGGCCTCGCTGAGCCCTGGGGGTTGAATTCCAACGTGGGTCTGTTACTAGAGAGAGGGTCATGAAACAAACGTTGAAACACATATTATGAGGCGCGTCAAGCCCGACCCACACTGAATGCACGAATCCCTCCAAGCTGTGTGAACACCCTCTTTTGAGTACCCCCTCCCTTATACAACTGCTTCAGAACAGAGGGGCCGTGGATTCCAACCTGGGGGGCGTCCACAAGCTGCTCGCGATGCGCAAGCCTCTGCCGGCGACGGGGCCCTGACCTCTCTGGACGCCCGAAATGGGTACGGAAGCAGTGGGTACAATGCCCAACAGCAGTTCCTGTTCATTTCGAACAGGACTCGCTGTCCGCGCCGCCGCGGCCTGTCTCCATCCGAGGCAGAAGGCCTCCTGCCCAACAGCGGCCGCGGTTGGTTTGGGACAACATTTGTTGTTGGGCATTGTGCCCATTCTTTCGGTACCCATTCCGGGCGTCCAAAACTCAGCGAGCGAAGAACGGTATAAGATCAACTTTTTCGCTGTCGGGGGCGCCTGTCCGCGGCTGGAAGGTTTATACCCCTACGGTGCCACCGTAAGGGTATAAACTTTCCAGCCGCCCAGGGACAGGCGCCCCCGACAGCGAAAAAGTTGATCTTATACCGTTCTTCGCCCGTCAAAAGCCCTCCGGGCGAGGCCACGTCGTGGAGCGAAAAGGGCACGGCGTCGGGGCTCGGGGTGTCCGCGCGTGCACGAGGCGTGGCCTCCCTCCTCCTGCTCCCTGCTCCGCTCCTCCTCCGGCTTGCCGGAGAGCCAGTCCCCAGGAGGGAGAGAAGCACACAGACACAATGCATCGTCGACTCCCCAGAAAATATAGGAAGATGTGGGAAGTGGGGGGGGAAGACAGACGCCGTGAAAATGTTGGAAGATATGGGGGATCGGTTTATTTGCGTGTATCTGTTTGTGTGTCCTGGGGCCCCTTCAGTCTCATCCTTGCCGAAGAGTCAATCCAGCCAGATCCACGAGCACCGCCGTCGGCGACCAGCTGTGAAAGCGTGGTCTGCAGCCTTGCCGAGGGGGAGGAGCGGGGGGAGCGAGCGGCGAGCGCAGCAGTCGAGACGGGCCTGAGGCGCCCGCGCGCGCTGGCAGCAGCGGTTCGCGCGCCGCTGCCGCCCAGGCCGCAGAGCTCTCTGTTTCAAGGGGTGCGGCGCGGGTGCGCCAACCCCAGACCCCCTCGGGTAATGAGAACATCATGACGGGAGGTTTTTCCACGTGTTCGGCCTTTTGGGGCCCTCACCGGGCCTCGGGATCGTCCAAAAACGATTCAGGATGAAACACCGGTCCCGGGGAATGGGTCCAGGGTCCAGACCTCGGGGGTCGACGTTATGACAAAATCCTGACGTCGGGGGTCTGGAACTGTAGCCTTGCTTCTCGCAGCCCGAGGCGCGAAGCGAGCTGGCCTGCGCAGAGGAAGCAACGAGTGCAACAGGCGCTGGTCTTTCACTGCCGTACCCTCTGCCTAGGCGTCTCAGCTCCCACCTTCACCTCGCTCATCACTGCAGCCTGTGCCCACCTTGCGCAGCGAGTACACTTTCAGCTTCGGGCTCATCTGCCTGATCACGTGTTCTTCCACCTTGTTCGGTACCCTCTTCTCGCAATTATCGTCTTGCACCGCTGGTCGACGTCTCCATAGGCTTTCACCACGCTTCCTGTTCCGCTTCTGCCTTTCCGAAATTCTCTCGCGGGTGCTATCGTTGCATATCTCGTTCCGGCTTTATTATTGTTACAGACGATCGGACAACACGACCAACATTTAGCCAGCAGAGATGGATGATGATGATGATGATGATGCTGATGATGATGATGATGGTGATGA